GCTAGGGACACACTCCTCGCCATAGTAGCCGGCGCTGTGGTGGGCGAGTTGAAGCGTCGAATCTAGTAGCGTTGTGGACTAAGATGGTGGGTGGGTGGTGGCCTAATTAACTAAGGTGAAGCAGGTGATGACGAACATTTCTAGCAGCGAAGGACCTAGAGGCAGATACTGTAAAGACAGAAGTGTGGGGAGCGAAGCAGCAGAAGCAATCGTCTCGTGTCAACTTCAAGACGCATTCTCTCCACGCCTCACCTCGCAGCTGCTTCGCGCCGCGCTAGCTGCCCCACCAGCCCCACCTCGTCATCTCGCTTCCTTGCGGACGGCGATGGAGCACGCGTCGTGACCACTGGTGCCTTTCTGTCACGTTCTGCGCGTCTCTCCGAGTTGGCCACGTGGCACTGCAAGCTGCGCAAATGATGCGCGCGCTGTTCAGCATTTGTCGAGCTCGACGAATCCTCGTAGCAGTGCTCCTTACGTCGCAAGCACTCTTCGTCTGACACGGCGACGACACACCGACTCAGCAGCGAGAGCGGCGACACGACACAGCGGCGACACAACGACGATACAGCGGCGACACAGCGATGACACAGCGGCAACACAGCGACGACACAGCGGCGACACAGCGATGACACAGCGGCAACACAATGGTGACACAGCGGCGACACAGCAATGACACAGCGACGACACAACGGCGAGAACCTGGCGACAGAGCCAGAAAGGCTGCATCCCTCGCCGCACCGTCACCTGTCGCTCGCACCCTTTCTCTACCCTGGGCGGCCAGCAGTGTATTTTCCGTCCCAAGCCATCCAACACCACTATCACTCTTAGCCTCATTTGCGGAGCACGGAACCCCCCTTGAACCATGGACTACCGATAAGGCTCCAAGTTTCACGCGCACCTACGAGGTCAATCGGAATGAAATGTGAGGGATATATGGGCTTGTGCAGGAAAGGGCACTGGTCGCATTGCCTTCACTGCCCCATTCTCTTGCGCATGCCCCTCCTCTCCTATCTGTCCTGCTCCTAAAATCCGTCTGCAGCCCCCACCAAGCTTATGCCCATGGCTGGGGTGGCGCGAGTGGGTGTGGTGGCGTCAGCGCTGCTGCTAGTCGCTCTCATTCTCGCTGCTGCCACTGGATTGGCATCATGCCACACAGGATTTACTCTCGCCACGTCAGCAAGCACGCAGATAACTTGTGAAGCACGCTTTGCCCTTGAAGAGTCGGTTGTTTCGCATGGTCTTCGTCAGACCATGGCCCATGGTGGAGGCATGTGGTGCAGCCGTGCAATGTGAAGCTCACTTGCCGCATTCGTCTTGCCTCTCCGTGTTGACTCGTGCAGCTCCCACGTGGCTTCAAGGGCAGTCCATAAGCAAAATATTCACTCACGATTGCTCGTCTTATATTCCCTCTTGTAAGTGCAACTGCTGGTTTCGTTTCTGCTTTACCACTCTGCGATGCGCGTGAGTGTGTGGACATCACAGCCCGACATTGCCAGCCGTGCTCCCTCCCATTCCCCTTCGTTTTCACTCCTATTCACACACGTTGTCTGCCACTCTATTCCAGACTGCCCCAGCCCAGAGGGCACTTGCCTGTTGCAGGTGTCCACCATGCATGTTCATCCATCACTTTTGCGCCATGACGATTTCTCCTTACAGACCAATGCCACATCAATGTGCGATAGTGCAACATGTATAGCTCAACATGGGGGAATCCCCACCACTCTGCAACATGCCCACACGTCCAACACACTTTTCCATATCCTCTACATTCTGGTGGGTCAGAGGAAAATCGCTCCGTGCTTCCTTCCATCACCTACAACAATTCAACCAACCATGTGCGTGTTATCTCCTCGCCGTCGACCCTCTGACCCCATGTGACCATACCATGCGCACCCCCCTCAACTCCACCACCTGTACTCGGCCATGGCTCCTATCCTGGCCCTGCTCTAGTACATGGGCGTGTCTTGCGCGCAAGTCGCAGCATGGCTGCACCGGCAGGGCCTTGCTGTGTTGTTGAAGCTAAAGAGTGGAGTCATGTCTTATATGGTATGACACAAGTCATGCCCTTGCATGACGTTTTGAAGCATGGATGCGTGTTCCACCTTGCTTGTCGCATTTCTAGCACATCAGCATTTGGCTTGTCTCTCCAAATGCACAATCCTCAAGCCATCCCGCCTCCTCTCCCTGCCGCCCTCATTCATGTGTTCCTGTACCTTCACACCCTCTCTTTCTCTTCCCTTCTCCCTCACCACTCTTCCCTCACCCTTGTTACAGGCACATAGAGTCTTCCCTCTACTTTGAAAACTTGTGTCAGGGTTTGCCCCACCTCTCTATCTTTACAACATATGTTTCCCTTATCTTTCGATTGTCCGATAATCATCCATCCCGTCTGCTCTCCTACCATCCTCAAGTCATCATGTATCCAGCTTTCTTATGTATTTCCCATGTCATGGCGTGTCATAGCATATGACAGTACAGTGTCCTCGACCATTGGGGGGCTCATGTGACACCATGCAATGGTACATGATGCACAATTTGACCATGTGCAGTGAACTTGGTCATTCCAAAATGCGAGGCGTCCGTGCAGTCGTTGGAAGTCATCCAGGGAAGCGAGAGAGGAAACATGGGCTGAGCCACGCCTCATGGAAAGTGGAGCAGGCACGCGTGAGAGGGTAGTTGGCAGCAGTGAGGGGGCAGTTGAGGGAATCAAACACACGCATGCTCAAGGTGGTAGCAGCCCTTGTACCAGACCATGGTGAAACCAAGCCGGTTTGCGAGGTAAAACATTAATTCATGTGTCTGCTTTGTTTCCAGTGCCACAACTTGGTGTGCCATATACTCTTTTCAGCTTGCTTGAAGGTGCAAGGCAAACCATGCTGCTTTCCTCCATATTCCCTTGCAGGCCATTCTGTCAGCATGGGAGGGAGAAGCATCTCAACGGACGTCAATAGTTTTGGAGAACATGTGCAGCCTCTCGGACCCCGCCCTGGGCATCATATCCAACATTTCCCACCTCAACGCTTTTTATCTTAGCGGCTCCTCCGGCTACAGCGCCCACGGCATCAGGCTCCTGTACGCGCTGCCGCGCCTGGAGACACTGTTTTTGAGTAGCACGGGCATCTCAGATGGCGCGCTGGAGGGGATCGAGGCAGCGACGGCCCTTGGGTGGCTCAACCTCATGTGCACCAAGGTGTCTGAAGCTGGCCTGCAGCACGTGACAGGCCTCTCCTCGCTCAACATCCTCAGCCTCTCCTTCTGCCCGGCCGTCACGGGTGTCGGCATGGTGCGCTTTGGCACCCTGACAGGCCTGGAGCAGCTGCACCTGTGGGGCAGTGGGGTGAGGGAGGAAAGGCTGCACCACTTGACCTCTCTGGGTAAGCTAACAAGGCTCTCTATGCCAAATGGGAGGTGGGTGGACCGTGAAGGGTTGAGGAAACAGCTAGGCAAAGTAGGAAATGGAGCAAAGTCAAGGAGGGATGATAGGAGCAAAGAAGACAAGAGGGATGGGAGATGTTGAACAATCGAGTACCGCGTGAATGTATGTTTTGTCTGCTCTTATCACATTCTGAATTATTGCCACAACAAGTAATCACTAGATTGCATGAACACACAGTTGACACTCAAATGCCAAAATTTTATGGCACTGCACTGCATCACCACTCTGAAAGCATCCCAAGCATCCTCACTCCTATCTGGTCTGGAGTGGAGTCCCCTCAAGTTTTTGGTAGTGGTTTTTGTTGGGCTGAGATAAGCCCGTAGGATCTTTGCAAAGACTAAGTCCCCAGAGAGATGTTGTACTTGCAGAAGCGTGGTGTAAGATGTTGGAAATGCTGAAAGGACTTAAAGACATTTCCGGAGTCTCGAGTGAGTGTACGAATACGTGAAGACTGTAACAACGGGGATGACCAAGTCAACACTGCTACAGTACTACCGACAGTTGACGCGGGTTGATGACACCCCACAGAGGTTACCAAAGGGCAACGGTCGCAGACCGCAGACCGTGCAGCCCAACAATCAGAATCGGAAGAGTCAAGAGTCAGTGCGACGTAAGGACAAATAACTGTCCTGATATTACAGTACGGGTAACAGGTGGTTACCCGAGTCTCCTTATCGAGTCGTAAAAGGGAATGTACCCCTCGAAGTGCACAAACAGTTAGACTCTTCATATTCTCTTGTATTATTATATAAACCTTGTATCCCTTTGCTATAATCAATCACTTGTTCTCACATACCAGTACAAGGGTTCAACTCAAGACTTCCGCTGTACTATCTAGCACTTTGTTACAAGGACTTAGCCTTCTGAATAGATCCTTGGCCTTACAAGACTTAATGAACCTCTTGCACTGGTATGTGAGAACAAGAGAATTGATAAACACAAACAGCATACAGGAATTTAAAGTTATTCTAGAATACAGGACAGTTACTACAGCTGCTGTTGCGCTATCGAGCGTATAGCGACTCGATACCTTACAGTGGCGGTTACTGTACAGTTGAGCTGCCACGCAACCTCCACGCGCAACCTCCAGGTGCAGCTGCCATGCGTGTAACTGCCACGCGCTTTGATTACACGCACAACTTGTAATGAAATTCCCTTTTCCTTACTGGGCTCGACTACAGCGCGTACGCCCTCGACTCTCGGAAGTCCAGGCCCAGCCAACTTCTTCGGTCCCGAACCACTTCGCGAACCCAAACCTAGACGCGCAGCGCTTCCGTAGCTTTCGCCAACCGGACCGCCCCAACCTGTTCGCGTGGTCCTCGGCTAGCTCTGTTCGTGCCTAAAAATGCCTAGGCCCTCATTTGTATCGACACTCTTGAATCACGACTCCTTTATTACACCACCTGTTACCGTATTAGTCTGATTAATTCATAACACAACTGCTGCATGTAACCTCCGTTGACTCGCCCTACTCGTTGACCACTCCACAGTATCGCTTAAGTCTCGATACTACAGAAACGGGTTACTTCTCCAATTCTTTGTTTCCAACAGTTTTCTTACTGGATGGCGCTGGTTCTTTCGTTTTCAAGGCTGATTCATCAGAGACGGTACAAGAGAACACCCTGAAAAAAAGGCAAATCAGCGTAAAAAGCCTGATACTATGGGCCTGCTAGCAGGCGTATTCCTTCCACGCATCTAGCGACAATTTTAGGGAGCTTGACTGGCAGCACAGTGCCTGTGGTGCATGGCGAGCAGCAGCTGCACCAGCGGCTCCTCCACGTCCGCCACGCCCCGCTCGCTCTTCTCTATCACCTCCTCGCCCTCCCCCGTCACCAGCACCACCTTGCTGCCACGTGTCAGCAGCTCATTGGCCACCACAGCGTGCACCCTGTTCTTCTCCAGAGCAGAGCGCGCCTTGGTGAGCAGAATGCTGGTGTCCGTCTCCAGCTGGTGGGGGGAGGCGCAGAGGGGAGGGGGGTGCAAAGTTGCAGGAGAATGCAAGGGCTGGAATGGGGCTCTTGAGTTCACTGCTGAGCACCACGCTCGTGTCCGTCCCAAGCTGGTCCTCAGGTGAGGGTCAAGGGAGGTGGGGCGGAGGAAAAGCATGGGGGAGGGGAAAGAGTGGCGGAGGGGGAAGTAGGGGCGAAAGGCGGAAGTGAGGGGGGGGAGGAAGGGCAGGGGGAAGGTGTCCGACTCCAGGTGGGGCTGGGAGGAAGGGATGAGATTTGGTGTTGAACAAGCAGAATTCTATTCCCTCAGGAAAGTTAGCTAAAGCTGCAAATGCCGTCTATGCGAGAATGTTGATAGATAGTGTTGTAAGGTAGAGACGTAAGGCAAGGTGTTCAAGCAAGGGCATGCAATGGGAAGAGAAGGGGTGCAAGGCCAACGAGAGAATGCGTAGGAAGGGAGGCGGCGGAGAAGTGCAGGAGGGGTGTGTGTGGGTGGTTGACCTTGAAGGAGACGAGCAGGGCGTTGGGGCACCAGAGCGACCGGAGCAGCGGGATCATCTTGGGCACGCGAGCCAGGTGGATGTCCAGCGGGCCCGCGCCCGACTGGATCTTGTGCTCCACCTGGTGGCGGGGGGGGAGGGGGGGGGGCGTGGCACGGATGGGCGCATCGGGGAGAGAGTGCGAGGGTCGGGTGCATGGCGAGTGCAAGCAGACGTGGGGATAAGAATGTCCAGGGCACCGCTGCTGCAGGACTGCATCTTGTGGTCCACCGCATGGGGGGAGAGAGCAGGAGGGAGGGATGGTGTGGCAGTGCATGGTGAAGCATGGCATGCTGCGGCACGGGGCACAGTGTGCGTGGAGCAATGCGGAGACTAGGTGGTGGCAGAGGGAAGCACGGCCAGGCAGCCACCGCCTGACCAGTTGTCGTGGTCCACCGGCATCTCACGCACACCACAGAGTTCGGTGGGCAGACAGGACGCACCCTGGAGGAAGACGGCGCACCCTGGGGTCATGGCACGCACCATGGAGGGCCACGGCACATACCATGGAGGGCCACGGCACATACCATGGAGGGCCACGGCACATACCATGGAGGGCCACGGCACATACCATGGAGGGCCACGGCACATACCATGGAGGGCCACGGCACATACCATGGAGGGCCACGGCACATACCATGGAGGGCCAGGTCACATACCATGGAGGGCCACGGCACATACCATGGAGGGCCACGGCACATACCATGGAGGGCCACGGCACATACCATGGAGGGCCACGGCACATACCATGGAGGGCCACGGCACATACCATGGAGGGCCACGGCACATACCATGGAGGGCCAGGTCACATACCATGGAGGGCCACGGCACATACCATGGAGGGCCACGGCACATACCATGGAGGGCCGCGGCACATACCATGGAGGGCCACGGCACATACCATGGAGGGCCACGGCACATACCATGGAGGGCCACGGCACATACCATGGAGGGCCACGGCACATACCATGGAGGGCCACGGCACATACCATGGAGGGCCACGGCACATACCATGGAGGGCCACGGCACATACCATGGAGGGCCACGGCACATACCATGGAGGGCCACGGCACATACCATGGAGGGCCAGGTCACATACCATGGAGGGCCATGGCACATACCATGGAGGGCCACGGCACATACCATGGAGGGCCACGGCACATACCATGGAGGGCCACGGCACATACCATGGAGGGCCACGGCACATACCATGGAGGGCCAGGTCACATACCATGGAGGGCCAGGGGACGAAGAAGTCGGACACCGCTGCTGCCAGGTAGACCATGCCACGTGGACCAATGGGGTTCAAGCTCTCAGCTACCAGGCGAAGCAGCTGGGACGGGGAGGAGAAGGGAGGGGAGAGGAAAGGAGAGAGGTGGTGGAAGGAAAGGCACCAGTTTGGCCCCCTGAAATGGAAGGGGTTCGCAGCGGAGCCCAACAGCACTCACAGAAAGCGTGAATTGAATTAGTGCGCGTGAATTGCAAATCTTGGAAGTGCCCTCTTGAGGTGCAAATGCCAAGAGAGAGTATCCAAAAACGATATCAGGTAGCGCTTAGACGAGCAGCAGCATGAACAGCTGGAAGCAGGATATGAGAATTCCTGAGGAACAGCTGTTTCAATATCTTTATGAGCGTCCCCTGCATGTACTGGAAGAGCGTCACCTGCAGGTACTGGAAGAGCGTTGTGAATGGCAGCAGCAGCAGCCGCCCTCCTTCCTGCGCCTGGAGGGAGTTGAGTGGTGGTGTGCAATTGAAGGCGATGAGACTTGGTAAGAAAGAGAACAAGCGGAGGCGGTGACAGTCCATGTGCGAAGCGTTTTGCATTGCAAGTCTCTCTGGAGATCCGTGAACAGTCTGCAGAGCAACGATAAAGGTTCACACATGGGGGCCATGCGATGTACACGCATGTGGCAGCCATGGCGTCGCACCTCGTTGAACATCTTGACGGCCCGGTGGATGGCATCGCTGTACGGCGGAATGGCTGCCAGGCGCGGTGGGGGGGAAAAGAATGGGAGATGCTGTGGGCGGTGGGAGCGGGGAGGACGGCGCTAGGGGTTAAGGAATGAGTGGCATGGCATGGATATGATGTGAGTGGATATGATGTGAATCGATATGATGTGAGTGGATATGATGTGAGTGGATATGATGTGAGTGAATATGATGTAAGTGGAAGGCATTCAGCTCCCACACACAGCATGGCACCCCCACATGCCACCCCACAGCACGTCACCCCACCACACGTCAACCCGCCACACGTCGCCCCTCCACCCGCCATTCAGCTGACAGCAGCAAGCACCTTCAAGGTATGTTCGCCCTGGGCAGCTGTCACTGCACGGAGCAGCAGGGGCCTCTGCACTCCCTGCTGCTGCACGGCTCAAGCTGCGGTCCCCGCACCCACTGCCCTCCACCTCAGCACACGCAGGGCCTTGCTCCTCCTGCTGTGAGCTATCCGAGGCAGTCTCCCCTCGTTCAGCGGGGGGGGCGGCAGCAGAGGGTTGGGGCGCAGGCACGTGAGGAGAGGCGACTCCGGCAGGCCGCGGCAGAACGGACGCACCGAGCCCCTGGCATGGGGGGGAGGAGGGGAAAGAGGATATGTGAAAAAGAGGAAGAGGAGGAGGATGAGAGGGGAAGAGAGAGGACGTGGAGATACGAGAGCAGTAGGAGGAGACTTGCTGTGAGCAAGGGAAGAGGGGGGATGATTCATGCGCACAAAGAACGCAATGCGCGAGGGCAAGCATTGTGAAAAGAACGAACGAGTGCAGCCAAGTGGTGCAGCGGCGCAACGAGACAGACAGCGCACCAGGCCCCGCGCTTTAGGGTTGGCAGCAATCCTAAAGCGGCGGTGAGCGTACCGCCGGTGCAGAAAGATGACCGCGTAGCCCTGCGCCAGGAAGTGCCTGCACACAGGGCGGGTGGTTGGTGGGGAGGAAAAAGGGTGGTTGGCAGGGAGTCAAACGCAGGGAGAGGTGAAGCGGTGGAGCTATGGGAAAGGGGCAGCGGCAAGAGGGGAAGGATGAGAGCGGAAGGAATGACGGAAGCGAGATGCGAATGTGAACGCGGGGGGCCGTCTACTTCAAGGAAGAGCACGCAGAGCCTGGTACGGGGAGGGAAGGAGCATGTGATTACCCTGGGAGCGCATGTGAGTACCCTGGGAGCGCATGTGAGTACCCTGGGAGCGCATGTGAGTACCCTGGGAGCGCATGTGAGTACCCTGGGAGCGCATGTGAGTACCCTGGGAGCGCATGTGAGTACCCTGGGAGCGCATGTGAGTACCCTGGGAGCGCATGTGAGTACCCTGGGAGCGCATGTGAGTACCCTGGGAGCGCATGCGAGGAGAGAGGGAGAGAGGGAGGGAGGGAGGGAGTGAGGGAGGGAGAGGGAGGGAGGGAGGGAGGGAGGGAGGGAGGGAGGGAGGGAGGGAGGGAGGGAGGGAGGGAGGGAGGGAGGGAGGGAGGGAGGGAGAGAGGGAGGGAGGGAGGGAGGGCACAAGAACCAGATTGGTGCCCTGTCTCTCACTCGCAAGAGGCGGCCCCGCGGTTGCCGGCGCTGAAGTTGTCGATGAAGCGAACGCAGCGCCGCTCCAACGGCACGGTGGTGCCGCCTGATGTCACACACGCCACCAACGACGACCCTGACCGCTGCTGCGTGGGGGATAGGGGCAGGACCAAGGAGGGAGACGCACAGGGGTTAGAATGCAGCGCCACTCCAAGGGAACTGACCGCTGTGTGTGCCGCCTGACATTGCACACACCAGCAGAGGCGAGCCCGGGCGTCGCTGAGAGGCCTCCTGTGGACAGCGGGGGGAACGAGGCACGGACAGTGGATCGCGCCAAGGGCATGGCAGTGCTGGCTGACGTCACATGCCACACAGGGACGGTTGTGGGCACGACAGATCGGGCACCGCACGTCGCTGGGAGGCGCCCTGGATGGAAGGGGGCAGCGAGAGCAAGAGGGACGAGGCACGGAGGGTGGGGAACAGCGGCATAGAGGCAGGAGGAGGGTGAATGGGGCATGGGGCATGGGGCATGGGGCATGGGGCATGGGGCATGGGGCATGGGGCATGGGGCATGGGGCATGGGGCATGGGGCATGGGGCATGGGGCATGGGGCATGGGGAGATGGGGGCATTGGAGATGTGGGATGGCGGATGAGGGGATGAGGGATGGGGGAAGGGGGAGGGGGGATGGTGTGGGGGAGGAGGATGGGAAACTGGCGGAGGATGGGGGATGGGGATGGGGATGGGGATGGGGATGGGGATGGGGATGGGGATGGGGATGGGGATGGGGATGGGGAAATTGCGGACGGGCACGGGGCATGGGGGCTGGGGGATGATGGGGGATGATGGGGGATGATGGGGGATGATGGGGGGAATGATGGAAGGGGGCTGGGGGCGAGAGGCGCGGAGGTGCAAGGCGTGGAGGCGTGGATGGGCAACGGGCGATGGTGGGGGCGATGCAGGCATGGCGGAGCCGGCAGTGGAATAAAGCCTCAGGGCGTGGTGGGGGGATGAGAATCCGCCGTACAATGAAAGCACACAGCTGATCTTTGATGACGTCAGCATCTGCAAGAGGCGGTGACGTGGCAAAGAACTCCTCCCACGCCACGTCGGACTCGTCCATGCGGCCAGCGGCTGCGAGGGAGTCAGCTTGCGGCGTCTCGGAAGGGTTGCGGCGCTTCAGAATGGGCCGAATGTGAAGGCGTCTCAAAGAGCGTGTCGAGGTGGCTGGAACATCTGAGGCGGATATGGGGTCGACAGATGCGCGGATGAGAGGCGCGAGTGGAGGGCGAGCTACGAGCGAGGCCGGAGAGAACTAGAGGCCAGAGTGTGCAGGGTGCGACGGGGCTCTTGATGAGACCTGGCAGGGCGCGAGATGCGGAATGATGCGAGCGAGCTATGGGAATTGGGAGAGGGAATTCTGTTCGGAACTCGTGGCTGCGAGTTTTCATTCTGAGGGCGTGTCCCCAAAAATCGTCAACCCGTTTTGGACACGTAGAGCCGTCTGACGGTACGCAATGTGAATCAATTTTCAAACTGACCCCGTTTTGGTAACAGGCCCGACGTGAAGGGTGCAGCTCAGAAGGACAGCACCGAGACCAGCACAGACATGGTGGCGGGTAACGGGGTCCCACCATGCGAAACCAGCGCAACAGGCACGTGTAACAAAAGGAGGGCCAATCCACTGTCTTAAAGCCCGACCGGCAGGTTGCAAGTCCAAAGTCTCAAGATGCAGCATCTTGAGAACTTGTTACCCTGTAGCAAGGGACTTTGGAAGGGACCTCGCGGCACAGGCCTGGGACATACAGGCGCGACTGGCTCGGTTCGGAACCCCCCGAAGCTCAAACAGGCCAAGGGCCAAAATAACAAGAGCAACCTGGCAGAAAGGCACTCCCCAACGAGATTGCGAGCTGCTGGGAGGGGGTGTGGGCATCCCTGCCAGGTTTCACCCAGGGAAAAGCAAAGCAACCACGCCAGATTGCTATGCGGGGAAAGCAGGGCACAGCAAGTGTGCATCCTGCCGAGGCCGCTTGATGAACGTCACGCCAGCAGCGAACCGCTCCACAGCCTACGGCACCAGGCGTCCCTATCACCACCCCGCCCCTCCCTCCCCTCTTTCTCGACAAAGATCGCCAAGCCAGATATTTGACCTAACCAGATGACCATTTGTCTCGGTGAACGCCTCGCCGCTAGACCTCGGGACAAAATGCTAGCCTATCATCGGAAGCAACCTAGTCGCGTTTCCCGCTAGGCTTCCTATAGCATATGGTCACACGCCGGCTTGTAGCGCGTGCCGCGGCGAAGAACCCGAAGGCGTCCGTGGCACGCCGCAAACCCTAAGTTAGAGGTAGCTCGACAGGACGCTTCCGTCCCACGAGCACAGGGAAGGTGCACGTGGGACAGATGCACCGACGCAGTTACACCGCGCAAGCGCCCACGATCCGCGAACCCTGAGACGCTCGATCTGTTTTGTCAGACGAGGCGGCGCTGCAAAAGGCGTTGGCCGGATGCAAGTAGGTCGTATTCTGCGCCTCCGCACGTGCCTCGATGGCCGCGAGTCCCTGCTCGCTGGTACGGCGAGTGACCAGGCATCATTGCTCCTTTCGCCCAGCGAGAGGAGCAACCGCGATCCTGTCACCCATCATCCAATCGCCCATTATCCTACCGGCCATTAGCTCGCCTCCCAATATCCACTCACCCATCGTGCCCTCGCCTATTATCCCCCGCCCATTATCCCCCCGCCCATCATCCCCCCGCCCATCATCCCCTCGCCCATCATCCCCCCGCCCGACATCCCCCTGCCCCTCACCACCCCGCCCGACATCCCCTCGCCCGACATCTCCTCGCCCGACATCCCCTCGCCCGAAATCCCCTCGCCCGACATCCCCTCGCCCGACATCCCCTCGCCCGCTGTCCCCTCCCCCGACATCCCCTCCCCCAGCATCCCCTCCCCCAGCATCCCCTTCCCCAGCATCCCCTCCCCCAGCCCAGCATCCACTCCCCCAGCATCCCCTCCCCCAGCATCCCCTCGCCTAGCATCCCCTCCCCCCTCCCCCAGCATCCCCTCCCCCAGCATCCCCTTCCCCAGCATCCCCTTCCCCAGCATCCCCTTCCCCAGCATCCCCTTCCCCAGCATCCCCTCCCCCAGCATCCCCTCCCCCAGCATTCCCTCGCCCAGCATCCCCTCGCCCAGCATCCCCTCCCCCAGCATCCCCTCCCCCAGCATCCCCTCCCCCAGCATCCCCTCCCCCAGCATCCCCTTCCCCAGCATCCCCTCCCCCAGCATCCCCTCGCCCAGCATCCCCTCCCCCAGCATCCCCTCGCCCAGCATCCCCTCTCCCAGCATCTCCTCCCCCAGCATCCCCTCCCCCAGCATCCCCTCCCCCAGCATCCCCTCCCCCAGCATCCCCTCCCCAGCGGCCCTCCCCCGTGGGCTTACTCAAAAGACAACTCTCTCCCACCATGACAGCCCCCCTGCCTCCCTGCTTCTCTGCATGCCTCTTCTACCTCTGTTTCACTTTCGCAGGTTGCTCATTCACCACGCCCTAGCGCCAGCAACATACCTCTCACCAGGACTCATGCTTCTCGAGACGAGCAGATGAAATGGGTAGCCTGCTGGTTGCTTTTGTGACTGCACCAGTAGGGCAGCAAGTAAGCTACATGCAGATGCATAGCATATCCAGGGGAACAGTCAACTTTATTCGACTTGCCTTGATCCTGCCAAGGTATTATCTCCAGATTTGAATCCATCCTCTCTCCTCTCTTTGCTTTTGTTTCCACCGTTAGGCTGGATGTGGCTACAGGTCTAGACCGTGAATAGATGAATATCAGACTAAGAATATGTTGGGAAGAATAATCCCCAGGATAAATGATCGAAATGAATGGATCTCATCAGTGCCAGTAGACAAGGTGCCATCTTTCGGTGGCATGGCGTGGGTGGGATTGTGTGAAAGGCCTATAAATGCAAATTGTCTGCACGTGTGCCAATTGGCCTCCGGGCAGAGATGAGATGGGACATAGGCCGTTATCTGGGGGCCGGAGCACATCGGCCTGCACATGGGGGGGGGAGGGAAAACAAGAAAGTGGAAACAAGTATGTGCATGGGTAAAACCATTTACCCCCCAATCAACCTGCAGCAGTGGTGTGACGGAGTGCAGCATGTGGGGCTTGTTCCGTGCCGTGGTGACATGACTGGTAAGTCATGGAGATGGCTGGAAAGGCACCGAGTAGGTGGCAAGGCCTTCAGGGACCAGCAACATGGTGTGTACAAAAAGGTCGTAAAGAGCAATTGAGACCCCGCCGCAGTTTGGGTCTGGCACGTTGGCGTGGCCCGGTCTAGAGTTGGGTGTCAGCCAAAGGCACCTGCACCCGTCAGCCCCCATGGATCACGCCAGGGCAGGTGAGTGAGTAATCACCATCACTACTGCAGTCAGGCGGCAGCATTGTCAAAAGACACTCAGTGAAGTCACAAGCTGACGCTGGCGATGGGGATGGGGCAAAGCAATCCTATGGCAGTGCATAATAAAATCAGGGTAATGCAGTAGCCACCATCGTAGGAAATTCACAGGGCCACATGCTGTTCTAGGAGTGTGAGATGAAACTAACCAAGCAAGTGGCCAGGTAAGGCCAGAGCTGGTCGCCGTGGAACTGGTGCGTCCATGTGGTGTTGCCTCGCGATGTCCCTCTCATGTCTCCCACCCCGCGATGCCCCTCCATGTCCAGTCATCCTCGAATGCGAGTCCAGTCTCATGCGAAGTAGCACGCCACTCTCGTATGATATCGTCTACCCAGCTCCAGTCAATGGGCCCAGCACTTTGTCATGCCTCCCTCGACGCACTCGCATGGCGTGACGTACCCGGATCTTGTAAGCCCGCACAAGACGATCCATGCAGTGGTTCCAATGTAGAACGGTGAGCCCAATTCGGGCCTCAAAACTACCTTGGAAACGGATTCTTTTGGGCACATACTTGCATATTAGACTATGCAGTGACTCGTTCACGGAGCTGCAGGCTCCTAGCACAAAGGGCGCCATTTGATCCGGCCCAAGATTCTTATCAAACCAGAGTCGGACTGCAGCATGCGTGGCAGATCCCTTTTTGTATAGCGCATTCTCTGGGCCCCATCCCTCTGATACGCACTTTGGAACCACCCCGTCTCTTTGGCACCGAGAATGGTCACCAGCCCAATGGTCCACAGCCAAGCAAACCTCCTCCGACACTTCCTCGGGCGTGCGGGTGCATCCGTCTTTAGCTTTAGCCGCGTTCCTCATCATGACATGCCAAAAGTGCACCCCGAGCCTTTGAGCAACGGTCATTCCTTGGGGTTGCTTCTGGGTTGTGCTGCCCTCGCCAGCCTCTGAGTTGCCCGTGTGTGCTGCTTTAGACCGCTGCTCCCTGTCCACCCACCTCCTCTGCTGCACGGGGACTGTGTGCCCACCCGGCTCTCCCACCCCTCCCTCTGCAGCTGCCACACCACATCATAGAACAGCACCCCAGGTTCACCATCAGCCACATGAAATTTTACACCTCCATCAACTAGCATACATACACACCAGCAACCAACTGACCAACAAGCCAGCCAGCGGAAAAACCATCAAACAACCCAAGAAGACCAGCATACACGGCAAACCATCAACCATGAATAACGCCAAGCAAAGGGGCACAAAACAAGCAAACAATGTGTCTAGCCAGCATTTTGGGCCCACATACCTTGCACCAGGGGAATCGCATTTGAGCTTTGTTGCTTGGCACGCAACGCCTCTAGTTGTGCAAGGTCGCCCTCTTCCGACACCACTTGGATTGCTAACATGCTGGCTGTGGACTGCGGACGGGTGCCAAGGGTACAATGGGTATCATATGCCCATAAAACATCCACTTCATGCCATCGGACCACAATTGCTTCATCCGCCATTTCACCCTCTCCAAGGTCCGCCTCACCACCCCCGTCGCCGGCCGTAACCCCGCCGCATCCATCCCCATGCGCGGTACTATCCACATGGCCTTCCGCAAGCGTTACTGGGACGGTAACAGCACAGGACGTTGTATCGTCGGCCGCCACCACCTCCTCCCCACCCTCCTCTCCGGGCGTAGCAGCGTTTTTGTCGCCGGTAACATCTCGCGCGTGTACCCGCAGAACTTGACGCAATTCCGGGTACTTGTACTTGGCGATTGACTCAGCCACCACCTCGTAAGCAAATTTCCCCATCTTGCCGCAAACGGCCTGAACTAGCGTGGGCTTGCTGCTGTTCTTAATCCCAGATGCGAGTGCCTTTTCATCGCGTAGCCACTTTAGCAAACGCTCCTTGCTGACACACCATAAGTCAGTTATTGTTTTCACATCCTCCATGCGCATCTCGCCCTTTAATTTGTCCTGCATATCTGTCCCAAACCTCTTCTCGATCGAGCGCCTCTT